ATATACAACAAATTTTTCTAAAATGGATCTCTGTAAAAATAGTAAAGGCTACAATTTTTTGTTTGTTACCTATCAATCTTATGTTATAATAAACAGACATTTATTGGTCCATGTTTTCATTCTTTCCTCAAAACATTGTTTCCTTCTTTTTTATGAAACCAGAAGAAGTGGCTTGATACAATGAGACTTATTTGGATACATTTAATGGAAATTTTATATTAAAAAACATCATATTTGTTAACGCTATTCCTTCCTGCATCCATCATACGCTCACATTTCTACTTTTAATCAAACTCTTTCACCATTTCTGAGCAATAATTTGCTTTGATAATTACAAAAGGCCTTTTCGCAAAATTATATACCCTAACTCGTAATGATGTGCCTATACTATTATTTTTTAATTTCTTATTATTAATATTTTTTTTATTTTAAAGTGCTAAGGATGTAAATTTCCAATTACATAATTATATTGTCATCCCAATTGACTAATTGCAACAGAATAAATAAAGCTAAAGAATTCATTTTTAAAACTAGAATTCGTTTCGTAAAATTTGTTTAATTTCTTTTATGATTTGAATTACAACCGAAATTTTAAATTTATCTAAACTGCATAGTTTGTTTGATTATTGTGTTACGAGATTATATTTCTTGGTTTCACTTTGATAAAACAACCTCCCATTGACAAGAGAGTCCCACGAGTAAATGGAAGTTGCTGACTGGGAGTCAATGCCAGTGGGAAAATTTTGAAGGTTCCTACAGACTCCCACTTACCCAGTCTGGATTATAATATATAATTAACGACAAGAAACATTTTTTTTGTCCTATTCATAGTATTAAGCAATGCTGAGGTGGTTTTGCAATAGTTTTATATTTTGCTGACTGAAGTAACACGATAGTAAAAAATCTGGAGCGGCGCGCATCACACGAGTTTCTCTTACTAATCTAATTATCACTACTCAAATCAATTTCTAATGAGAATAAGGCTTACCTGATATTAAAAACCATTTAGTTTTGCATTGATATAACGATTTTGATATGAATCGTTAAAGCCGTTTTAAAGAAAATAGGTTATATAAAGTTGCTGTAACATCTCAAGCGTACAGAAACCTTAAATACGTAATTTAAATTTCGTATTTTCCGTTTTTAAGGAAGCACTCAAAGCGTGTTTTTTCCTTTTTCCAGGATCGCAAAACTTTCCCTTACTATATATTTTATACATATATAAATGAAAGTAAAAACGTCTGGTGAGTAGGATTAGTATAAATTCCTCATTGTTTTTAAAATGTTTCAATTAAATGTTTATAATTTTAAAAAATATATGAGATATCACAGAAAGGTACAACCCCAGTAAGATGAATACAAATGCTGCAGGCTGCAGATGTTAAATTATTAATTTTTTTTTTAAATTTTAATATATATATATGTATTTTTTTTTTTAATCTTCCGGTCAATAAATTATTTCAGAACAAGTTTTATGACGCGTGTTGAAGACATCTGCTGTCCTTCAGGTACCGGAAAGTCTGTTGATTTTATCATTACATCCACATCAATATAATTATAAATTTATCAAAAAATATTCTTTTTAATTATTTCCGTGAAAGTCTAGGTATTTACGATTTTTTTATTGTTTTTTTATTATTCTATTAAACCTCTAGTATAAATAGCATTGAGTCCATTACACTACCTTGTATTTCTAAAATGCAGGTAAAAACAAACTAACCCGACTACTAAATAACGTTTCGGCAATTCAGGTATCATCTGGACAGATAAAACAAGAACACTGTAATCTATGACACCCAAACACACACTCTACTATAAATAGTATGTGTTTGAATGTCATGCAATGAAGTAATCTTGTTTTATCTTTCCTAATGATTTGAATCGCCGAAACGTTGATGGGATATTTTTTTTACCTATATTTTAGAGACACAAGAATGAGTAGGACTTGCATTTTGGTTTATTACTTTCAATTATTTACTATTGTATACGTCCAAAAAACTCAAAACCTTAAACCCTCCTCAAAATTTGAGGGTAACGTTTCAGTATACGTAGAACTCGAAAATCGAATAATTTTTTTTTTGTCCGTCTGCCGTGCTTTTTTTTTGTTTCTTTCCTCACCTCTTAGGCTATACGGGGTTTCCCGGGCCAGGAGGTGAGACGAAGGATTAATTTAGCACACTATTTTCTATCCGGGTTGCCAGGCAACATGTACATCGTCCACCGTCCGCGCATTTTCTCCGAGACTACTGGACCGATTTTTTTTCAAATTCCGAATCAATGTAAGAGGACACCCGAGGATGATCCTCCTACAACAACATTACTATCTACCTTTTCCTTACAAGATGGCGGCTTAAAAACCTGTGTCGGTATAGACTATAGTGCCTAAATGAGTGTACTGATTTCAATTAAACTTGGTCACTTCAACGAATTTACGAGGGGTGGTAAAATTTTCCAAATAACCAAAAGCATACACTATTTTGTAGATATTGTATAGGTTTATTTAAAAGTTTAGGAGTTTTCCTGTAAAAAAAATAATACAAATTGTTGAAACTGGATAATTTGGAGGAATGATATGGTATTCTAGACATTTTTCATATGTTCTACTACAAAGATTATATCCTTTGTTTTGATTTTTGAAAGTGTTACTGAAGCAATGCTATTTTTCTTAGCAAATTACTAATGAAGAAAAAAAATGTTTAGGTCAACAATAGGAACCATCTTTTATTTACGTTACCAGGAAGATAACGTTACTTTAGATGTATAATTGTTTGAAAATAATAAACCATTATCACTTAATATTTTTCAAAGATGGACAAAAATTTCTATTCGACGATTTCTTGATGAAGTGGACATTCCCCGTCGCCCTTTTTTGGACCCCACATTTTGGGGTGACAGTACCAATTTAACTTCATCTGTTATTAGACCTGTCTATCTGTCGGCCATCTCGGACCGGTTTCAATTCGTTTAATTACTTTTACAAATGTTAATTAACCCAATTATGAGTAATTCGGGTGAAAAGAGAGCATGAAGAGATGTCATTGGTAGATACAATTATAGAAATTAGAGCGGCCGGTGCGTGCGCGGTCCCTGTTCAAATCCCATCATGGCACCACCTCAACCAATAATTAACTCCATTCCATATACAAAATTAATTCCAGCTGGTGTTAGCCGGGGTTGTAGTTTGGTCCTCATACACCCTCTTATTAGAAATCTCTTATATAAGAAGCCATTCTAAGAAAATTTATTTTTAAAAAATTAGTTAAAGGCAGAATTTATAATGGTTATTTTTTTGTTAATTATAAATATTTAACATGCATACGAAATTAAAAAGACAAGAACTTAAAAGACGATATAGCCAACTTTCACATCTTCTGAACTACAGATCTTCACTTAACTTACGAAACAAGCGACTGATCTACAACACCTTTTTGAGACCAATATGGACATATGGAGTAGAACTTTGAGGTTCAGCAAAACAAACAGACATTAACAAAATAAAAACAGCACAATCGAAAATTTTACAAAAATTTTTTAACGCACCTTGGTACATTTCAAATAATACTATACATAACCACTTAAACACCCCAATAGTAAAATCCTACATCCACGACAAATACACTACATTTCATTCTTCAACCCAAAATCACTCCAATCTTCTGGTTCTTTCTATCTCCTGCTCCCTGTTACTTGAACAACGCAGGTTAGGAAGAAAATGGCCAAGAGACCTAGTATATCGATAAAAACAAAATTAAGAAAACACACCAGACAATATAAATACAACAAATTTGCTAGATGCGCAGCCGCGCATGTGCCAATTGCATAGAATATAAATAAATAAATTATAAATATTTTCAATAATTCCTAAAAAAAAAATTAAATATATGGGGAATGAAGCCATATTTCTTAAAACAGGCTAACTCAACTCGTGGTAGATATAACTGACTTAGCCATTAGTGGTGGGGTGTTTTAATAACAATCTCTTTATTTGAAAAAGGTTCTTTCATTAAACAGATACATTTAACAGTTCAGCCAAATCAAACAGATACAAAAGAAGACAACTCCCAGTACAGGTTAGTAGGTGGAGATAGCACTACCAACGAAGAAACAGAGAAACACAGAATGAATTTGTTCAACTTAAACAGCTTTTTGCGAAAAATACAGTGACAGTTAGAGTCCTATGGAACAGATAGAGAAATATTTACGATTCTCTGTAACAAATACTGAAACAGTTACAGTCTGTTGTAACAGTTACTGAAACAGTTACATTCTCCTGTAACCGGAGGCGGATCTACGTAGGTGAGAAGGAGGGACTGAAGCCACCCCAAAATAGTAAAACATAATTATGTTTTATGAAGAAAAAAAATCTTTTAAATTATTATTGTTCGTGTAATTACATTTAATAGAACTTCAAGATTCACTTAAATACCATTTCATATAGGTAGTTAGTTTCTTTATTTTTTTTTTTAAAAATAATTCTTGTTATATATATGAAAAAAAAATCTCTCGGGCTGAAGCCCCCTCCCAAAAATTAAATCCTAGATCCACTAGTGCCTGTAACAGTTAAAGAACTCCCCTGTAACAGATAAAAAAACAGCTCCCAGTAGCAGCTCTACAAAATCATCGTACAATTACTTTTAAAAATATACAAAAATAATACATAAATTAAACAAAATAATTTTTTTTCACTTGGTACAGATTTCAAGATTTGACATAGCTATATCTATTTTTTTTTTTTTTTAATTTGTTTATTAGAAATGACAGAAACTGTTGAAACTGCTACCCATAATTAACAGTTTTGCCCATCACTAGCAAATGTCAAGAAAAACACTTATTATCATTGTTATTACATGAGAATAGATTTGTTATATTAATTGTATATATTTTTTTTTCTAACCCCCCAAGATGTTTATTTAATCAAATTACATATATAGTATATATATTTAATATTATATGATAAGAAATATATAAAGCTAACAGGATTATGGAAGTGGTTAGGAAAGATGGTAATGCCTGACTTTGAGTGGGCTAATCTCTAGAAGGCTGTGTTTAAGTAAACAGAAGAGAGGAAAGTTGAAGAGAGCTGGTCGGGTTCCCACGGGGGTCTGTAATCTAGACCTTTTAGTGAGCTTTTATTTTTTCTGATTTCTCAGGTCTGTTTAATTCTTCATCAGAAGGCTGTCTGTTTGCCGATGCCACTGGTGGATGTAATACCATTCATTTATAACTTAATTTTTTTAAATATCTAAAATGTTACAAGTTCAAATTCATTCTGCTTCTTAATTACCGATGGGAATCAAGCTTCTTATACCTATAAGAGTATTTTTCAAACACGCTTCTATGTGTAGTTAACATAGCATTTTTTTTTTTTTTTCTTACCCTCCAGAATGTTTATTGAAACAATTTACATATATAGTATACAATAGTACAATATATACATGTAATAAATTCCTTCCACTGCCCGAGGGCATTTTATAACATAGCATATTATAGAAGGCAGTCTACATAGTAAAATGGAGAATTCAACATTTCGAGAAAATACATCCTAATTTAATCAGCTATATTACACTTTTCCGAGCTTATTAAACGATTTCGAGCCTTACTGTAATGATATATGTGGGTATATTTATATTTATATATATATATATATATATATATATATATATATATATATATATATATATATATATATATAAATAAATAAAAGTAATTACAGAAAAAATAGTGTCTTTAGTGCTTATTTTTTTCTTCATAACAGACTGAAACGACAAGAACCGCTCGACGTTTCCGATTACTTCAACACTTACTAGGCAAACGCTCTAAACTTCCAATTAATTACAAAAGACTCATATACATGACTATAATAAGGCCTATTTGGAATTACGGAGTTGAACTATGGGGCTCCACTAAACCTTCGAATTCCTGTCGTATCCAATCCTTACGATCCAAAAACCTTCGTAAAATCCTCAATGCTCCCTACTTTGTTACAAATAAAACCATCCATAATAAACATCAGAATCATCACAAGCCTTTCGTTTGTAACCTTGCTTCCTCTTCAATTCCTGATAACCCTCCGAGACGTCTGAGAAGATGGCCCCGTGATCTCCTAATGTAGACATATCATTAGAGTGCTACCATTGGGTAGTTACTCAATATGTGTTTTCACGTCATTATATCTATTATGTCCAAATTTACTAGATTAAAATTTCTTTATTACAGTTGTATATATCATTAAGAAATAATAAAAATTAAAAAAAAATTTCTTGAAGCGTGCTTACATTTAGTAGCTATATTGTGATTTTTAAAGTAATAATCTCAGATCACTACTCAGAAACAAATATAGAAAAATAAAAACATTAATTTTCCATTTTCCATTGTGGGGGAGAAGCCTTCAGCCCGAAACCCTTTCCACCCGAATCTGCTGATACTGTACCCGTTTGTTTAATGAAAAATCCTAATGAAGCTAAAAATAAAATGAACTATAGAACAAAAAATCAATCACCATTTCTCTCCTCTACTCAGAGGCTTCCTAATATTTCCAGACAAAAAAAAGGAAAGTAAATAATCAAAGCAAATAAGCGAAGATACTGACTACTAAAGTATTTACATAGGCGACTTATATATTTCGAGTGAAGACAGATTTTATAGCTGATAGCAGTTGTAGTATTTGATTTAGTGGGAACGCGAAATGATATGTAGTCCCAGTTCATTTGTTGGCCTCACAAATCGAGCAAAGGGACAACTCCCAACAGCAGATCCACCTTTTTGTTATCGCTCAAAAACAACTGTCATAAATATTAGACCGCTCGGCGCTAGCATGGCCGCTATGTTGTTGATGAAATGAGTTTCTAATTTACTATTGATCCCGTTGACTAACTAGCCGAGGTGGAAGTGGTTATGAGAACTCATTACTATTCTGATCTATTGATGGCTCTCGGAACTTGTTTCGGAACCGGAATTGACAACGTCAGGCGGTGAAGAACGAGACATCTAATAATAGTTCGAGAATCCGTGCAGAAAAATTAAAATTATATGATGACAATTTTGAATGCATTTTTTTATAACATTTATATTTTAAAAATGAGAGTCTGCCAGTCAGATCATGCTGCGCACTCATTAAGAATTTAAAGAACGTTAAATTGTGCTTCGAACGAATACCTAAACTTAATGATTTGCTTAAATTGAAAGGTCGATAACAACGTTCTAGCACTAGCGAATCCAGAATTTAATTTTGGGTACCTTCAGCCCTAAATGCTTTTTTTAAAAAATATATATGAATTATCACTTTAAAAGAAAAAAGAAACTAACTACCTATACGAAATAGTGTTTATTTTTTAAGTCCATACTAAATGTAAGTACATGAACAATGATACTTTTAGAGATAATGTTTTAATATTTCCTTCACAAGACATGGTTATATTTTACCATTTGTGGAGGGGAGGAGATTCTGCCCAAAAGCCCTCTCTTAGATCCACCTCTACAATCTACGAACGCTCATTTTTACCAAATTTGTCAAAAACTGAGACACATTACTATTTACGGCTCTGCAGCTAGGAAATTAGTTTCCTAATATAAAAACTTGTATCAAAGAAGTTGTATAGAATCAAATTCCGCTTCGACTGACTACCGACAGTTTTAATATAGGTCACTTACTTCCATTAGCGGATCCAGGATTTAATTTAGGGAGGGGGGCTTTAGTCCGAAAGCTTTTTTTTCCATATATATATATAACGATAATTACTTTGGAAAAAAAGAAAGATACTAACTGGGGAGAAATGATATGGGAAGAAATGATTCCATTTCACATTTTTATATTTGGTCAGGAACACTAGCGGATCCAGGATTTAATTTTGGGGGGGGGGGGCTTCAGCCCGAAACCTTTTTTTTTCATAAAAATAACGATAATTACTTTGGAAAAACAGAAAGAAACTAACTACCTATATGAAATGATGTTCAAGTTATTCCTTAAGTACTTTTAAACATAATTACACGAACAATAATACTTTAAGAGGTATTTTTTAAATTTTTTTTCCCATAAAACATGGTTATTTTTTTCCATTTTGTGGGGGGCTTCAGCCCGAAAGCCCCCCCCCCCCCGTAGATCCGCCCGTGGTCAGGAAAGCTGATTTTCCATAACTTTGAGCTATTAAAATTTGTTTCTTAGTTACTAAATTATTTAATAACAAAACGGACATGCTTTCCTTTTTCTCTGGGTCACAGATATATTCAGATGTGTTCCCTAAAACTTTGTTAATGCCTGCAATTCCACTGCAGAAATTAATGAGTTTTTTTTTTCAGAGATTGGACATTCGAGGCAGGATCAAGGTTCTTCACGGCCAAAACCGGAAAACAGAGGAACCGCCGCTGGCCCTGTTCGCCTTGTGCACTCCCTTCGGGCCACCATCCCTCCTTGAGATCCCCCACAAGGAAGTGATGTTCAAGAGCAAGCACAAGCTTGACCTCTCCCTGGTATCAATGGACCAGAGGGGCAAGATGTTGCTTGGCTATTCGGATGCCGAACTTGCCGATATGGGAGGATATGATCTAGTCCATTACGATGATCTCGCCTACGTAGCAAGCGCACACCAAGAATGTAAGTGTAGGAATTGTTCGTTAAGATTGTTCCTGACATAACCTTAATTTCAGAAATTTCATAAATCATATCCCTAACATATTGATACTACATCAAGTAAAATTCCTAAATTGAATTTGTTATTTCAGAAATGACACATTGACATTTTCATGATTATGAAAAAAAAGACAGTAAACTATCTTCATATACTATTTCTCAAAGGTGTATATTTTTATATTTATATTTTCATTTGCTATTCATCAAATCCGAAGATTGAGCTATCACTTTGAAGATTATCTTCTCAGTGAGAAAAATAAGCAAGTCCCTCAGAAAAGTCAGGAAAAAAAGTTATGAAAAGAAAACTTAATATAGAAGAATGTCCTTTTAATACAGTCTCATGTTCTATTATGAATTTGTTACATGCAGCTTTCAGTGCTTTGCACCATATTCATCTATTTCTAATCTGCTTCCATCCACTTCGGATGTCGTTCTTTCAAAAGTTATTTTTTTCTTTCCAATCATTGATAGATTTCTGCACTGTTTAAAAATCTATATTATTGGAGGAGATAGGACCTTTTTTGTCCATATCAGATCATACTCTGCTGTATACTACATATTTTACAGGAGTATGGCCCAGTCTAGACAGAAAAGGTGCTCTCTCCTCCAATAATATAGAATTTTTAACAAAACAGTAAGACAATCTATTAATGATTGGAAAAAAAAATTTTTTTTTCAAAGAACGCTATCCAGAGTGGGTGGATTCGGATTAGAAATAAATAAATATGCTGCAAGGCACCGAAAGCTTAATGTAACAAATAAATAACAAAAAAAATGAGACTGTGCTAAAAGGGTATTTTCTATATTTCAAGAAAAATACACTGTCTGTCTATTTATATGGGAAACTTAATTTGCACACAATTTTAAAAATGTACAGTTTATTAATATTATAATTGAAATTGGACCATTTTTAAACTTTCATAATATTTTTTTTTTTTTATTCCAGTGTTGAAAACGGGTGCTTCAGGCATGATAGCCTACAGGTACCAGAGTAAAGAAGGACAGTGGCAATGGCTTCAAACAAGCTCAAGACTCGTCTACAAAAACTCGAAGCCCGACTTTGTCATAAGCACGCATCGACCTCTCATGTACATAATTATAGTATTATATTTTATTATAATTTAATTTTAAAATGTAACTATCCAAAAAATCTATCATAATATAAAATTCTATTTCAGTTTCATTCATCTATTAAACATATTAACATAATTTAATTTTAACTCAAACTTTATAGCTATATTTTGGTGTGGTGAGTATTGAGTTTTGTTAATTCAGAACATTTTTTATAAAATTATGTAAATATTTTTTGTTCAAAATTTGTCAAGAAAAAACAAAAAAAGTTATGATTCATTCAATTGGCACTTTAGTAACATGAGATAAATAAAAGAATTCTCTTGGTGACTGAATTGAATTGAGTTGAAATCTACTCAAGTGAAAATTTAAGTCTATATTGTTGACAATTGAGGGGCATTTTATCAAAAGTTATTATGTTACATCTCTCATAATATAAGATTTTTTTTTTAATAAAATTTATTTGGTTTTGTATGATGTTTATATTCAATTTTAATTTTATTCATCTAATTTAATTAATTAAAAATATTAAACTTAATAATTTCCAGTTAATAGGTCGCATGAAAATTAGGTAATAGAAATGAGTTGTCAATGTTATTAATTAATGTTTTTTGTTATTATTGAGATGAATATGGTTCAGAGAAACCAAAAGTTTCTCTAGTTTTAGGGTGTAAAATAAAAGAATTTATATAGAGGCTATTTTTGGTAAAGAACATGATATTCATTTATTCAACTTATTGAATATTTAAATTTGAACAAGTCAAATAGTTGTTAAAAATAAACATTTGACTTGTCTACATAAGATGTTCCCATAATATTTTTTTAATAATAATTTTCTGAAAGTTGATAAATTGACGTTTGATAGAACACTTCTCAATTGTAATTAAATTATCTGTCATTTGTTAATTATTTTATTATCTAAGAATAAATTATTTAGATTTATTTAATGCTCAGTTTTAAAATCAATGCTTACATAGCTTTTTAATGAACCAATTATAACTTTTTTTAATATTATTTTATAAATCATACAAAATATTGAGATCATAAGCAACTAAATATATTTATTTCACTTTATGGTGAGCTTTTTCATCACAATTTTAATTTTAAAGAAATATGACTCACCACTAATGAAATTCTTGATCATGAACATTTGTAAACTTGATACACCTCACATGAAAGGTTTATTGATTTTTCCAAGTTCTTACCTGAAAAAAAAAATTAAGAATAACTAAATATAGAAAAATAATAAAAATGTTTACATTCAAATAAATTTGGAATACATATACTGATAATTGTTTGCGTTATTTCACAGGGAGGAAGAAGGTAGAGACCTTCTAGGAAAGAGAACGATGGATTTTAAAGTGAGTTACCTTGATGCTGGGCTGACAAACAGTTATTTCTCTGACAGTGAATTAGTGGGTTCATCAACACCAACGAGTGGCTCCCAAGCTCCAACACCGCAAAGGGTTAACAGGCGGTATAAAACCCAATTAAGAGACTTTTTATCAACGTGTCGGACTAAACGTAAAATTTCTTCTCATAGTACAGTTGTTCCCAACCCAGAATCTGAATTTATAGTGCCAGACTCAGCTGCAGCAGTCGCAGCAGCCTACACAAATCTCAACGTCTATGGTGGAACATATCCCACGCCAGCTCCTGCAGAAACCTACATGAGCCACTCGGGAAATTTCCACCAGACCCTCTACGACAACAGGTTTCTCACCTCTACAACGGACAACCTGTTTCATCAATACCGCCATTTAGGATCTTACTATCCCGATTACCATTCATCCGGGGGTTATGTATCCAATGGATTTCTGGACATGTCTCCCAGAAGTGCCACCTGCTTGCCGACATATGAGACGAGCCATACTGTCCATCAAATAGGCAAAGCAGACTGTGACAAACTGTACACCTGTCATCAGCCATTAGAACAGAAGTACGCGACCGTTATAGACAACACGAGGTATCCTAAATGTCTCGATATGGGTGGGTATGCACCACCAGGAGTCGTAACGGTCCCTCTTTGTGACATATCACACAAGAAAAGTGTTAAATCAATGGACAATCTTTCTTCAAGTAATTCTGCGGGTTCTTCACCAGCGGGTGTAAACGGTTTAGTGACACCCAAAATCGAAGACATGAAGGACATGATGCAACACTACGAACAACCTCGGCAAACAGTGTTGATGTGGGGAGCTGCACATACACCAACGTCGTCAAGTAGCAGGTCTCCTCAAGGTGGATCACCGGTCTCTTACCAGGATAAGAAGTTCGGAGACCCTCTGAAGTCGCTAGCAGAGATGAACAGCATGGCCGAAACCAAGTGGAAGCCAGAGACACCACCTCACGTCGCAAGCCCAAAGTACACCCACTATCAGTATAGTGAGACGGGCCAAGAGGTATTGCCTCACCAGATCTATCCTTACCACCAGTGAGTCACTTTGTCTTATTCACCCAAAGTAGACTTTTCAAAATGGAACCCTCCTAAGAAATCTACATACACTTCCCTTAAGTAACTAATTTATAAATAGCTAAATATTGGTTATTACAAACAATGGTAATTTAAAATTAATAATGAATTAATATATTAAATAATAAAAAAAAAAGAATGCAACAAAATTTGTTGGAAAATTCAATAAGAAATAAAAATGCATATACTTAATCAAAGGAAATATTAAAATCTAGTAATAATAATATTTTCAATGAAATTATGTTAACATCATCTTTTTATTCAATATAATTCAATTGATGTTTTTATTTATTGTCAGTTCATTAAATAAGACAATTCAGAAAATATAATAACCATGATCATAAATTCTATTAAATTATAATTGATCTTAAATAAAAATACAATGGGAAAAATAGAAATAATGTCAACCATGACAATATTTTTTGTTAAGTTAAAAAGAGTATAAAATATTAAATATTTCATACACGTTGATCAACATTGTATAACTCAAACATTGAAATTTAGTTGTTAATTTCTATTTATTTAAATTAAAGTAACTGATGTATCATGGACTAACAAAAAATGATTAATCAATGGAGTAGCCAATACCTTAGGTATTGCTAAATATTACATTTTTGAGTTGAAACTGTTTTGATCAAGTTATGTATGATTCTTTTAAATACATTGAAATGAAAAATAATTAAAATTTAAATAATTTTGAATGAAACAAACCAAGCATTTTAAATATTAAATATGAAGAAATTGCATTCAAAAGAGAACTATTCATGAAATATAAATACCATAATTTACTGAATATTGCAAAAATGAACAAATATGACGAATCAGGAGGGATCATTTCACAGATTGACTGTTTTTGCATGATATTTTTGCACACGATTTTTTTGTTTTATTGTAACTCTGTTACTACTACACATTTAGTAAATTATTCTGCTGAACAATTAAATATGTAAAATCCTGCAACTATTAATATTTATACTTAATATTTAAACTTAGTTTACCATATGCAGTCATACCTCTATATATTGCACTTGAAACATGAATTACTATAAACATGAAAATATTTATTTATATAGAATATTTAAGAGTTGACCGTTGCATTATAAAGGAAGGAGATGGTCCGGGGTGGCAGTCATAAATAGGCTAAATAGTGGCAAAACTGTTTTATTAAAAGCCAATCCCTCCCTGAAGGTATTCTTCAGGGAGGGATTGGCTTTTAATAAAACAGTTTTGGTGCTATTTAGCCTATTTATGCCCGCCACTCCAGACCATCTCCTTCATTTATTTATATACTAATAACATGAAATAGTTGAATTTTATGATTAAAAATTAACCACAAATATAATATTTTAGGCACAGTTATTTTATTTATTTTTGTTTTTTATGATTAATTCCTTCAGAATCATTTCAAATAGTTGGTAATAAACAAATATTCATTCTGATATATTTATTAATATTTTAATTCAATTATTTTTATTTATGAAAATTTTATTAATTTTAAAAATAAACATTGTTCCAATACAATTTCAATTGAATTTGGAAAAGTACAATAGGGATTGTTTTATTGTTGTTGAAAGTTCATTCGTTATGTAGAGGTACAACTGTAATTATAGTGTAACCTACAAGTTAGAAGTGTAAAGATATCATAATAAATTTCATCTTTGTATGCAACGAAAACAATACAATACAAACAATTAATTTCAGCAGTTGATTTTACATAAGTTAGAAAGTATGTACATAAATTGCTCATAAGAACTATGGCATTCGAATTAAATATTATAGACATAAGTATTTTTTTTTTAAATGGATAGAGCTTATGAAATCCTACAAATAATATTTGCCGTTAATAATCTTATTATAATAATTTTACTTCCTCAAACAGCTAATAAGGAACTTAATATTTCTCTTAATATCCGCGAAGTCCAAAACAATAATTTTGCAAAAATTCTTTTCATCCTCTATTATTGAGATCTGAAGCCTGTTTCCAGTGGGCTAAATAAACAATGCATTGGACTTTGATGAATGCATTTGACCAATTTTGTCACTCAGGTTCTAGTCTGAGATTTTGTTCTATTAACATGGATAGACTGTGGGTATGGGTGATTTAGGCAAAATTCGGTTAAATGTGATTTCTACGTATCCATTTGGTATATTAAAAGGTACTTCCTTTTTAATTAGTTATCCCAAGATCCTCTAGGTTGGGTTTTTAAACCTAAGATTTTCTTCTTATTATTTTATTTATTTTTTTTTTTTTTAGTACTTCCATATCACTGAGCCCTCATGATTTCTCATATAAATCAGTTATTTCACATTTGTCACGTATCACATGATTAATGAAAACAGTTGAGGAAGATCTAATAAAAATCAATATTTTTTTTATAACTAGTTCAAAAGAAAAAAAAAAATGAAAGCCTAATTCCGTGAAAAAGTATCCAGCAGATCTATCAGTTCAGAATACTTCATTTTTAAGGAATTGATTCAATTTACAATTTGAACCAATGTTATAAAACCAATTGAAATATTTCAGGAAAAGCAATTTTTTTCTTAAATCAATTTTTCTTCATGTAGAATGCTATACTTCGTGTGAACTATATATATATTTTTTAAATTAAGATGTATTTAAATTATTTGATAGTATTGTTTGAAAAAAAATATTTGGTAAATTTGTTTCTTTTTATAATTTTGCTTGCTTCTATACAGTATAAAATTACTTCACGCTAGCACAGCCAACACATTTTTATTTCTTTTAATAAAGTAGAAGTTAGCAATTATATTTTGAAAAATAAAAATTGTGTGAAGTATTATAAAACTATTATGAATTAGTGAATGTAAATAAACAAAAGTAAAAGCTGTAATTTAAAGAGGATTATTTTTTCACTAGTAATCATAAATAAGTACATATTTTAAAAAAAACTGAGTAGTTTGTTTTATTTTATCTATTTTTTTTTCATTTATTTTGTATTTAATTATTACAACTTGAGTAAAATATTTTTAATATAATTATAATAATTAATGAAATAATAAAATTAAATTTTTAGATTGGGAGGGGAGTGCGGGTACCCTCAGATAAGCAGGACGGGAGTCCTTTGCTGTCCATCTCTCAGGTGACTAATACCCTCCTCAATCAATAGCCTACAGGTAAGTATTCAATTATTTATATTTTTATTAATAGTTCTAACATAGTATATTAATATTAATATTTTAAACATAAAATATATTAATGTTAGATCACTGAAGATGACAACTTCCGTTGAATGGTTAATTTTATTATGAGAGAGAAATTTTTGACTGTATAATTAATTGCAGAAGCTGTTTGGGGGAGGAAGGAGTGAAAGGTGTTGTCACCGATGAAAAAAACAAATACAGGGTTATATAATCAAAAGAAAATTTATAACCATCTAAGTCAAATGAAAGATGAAATAAATAAGTTCAAGCAAAAACATGTTGTTTATAAGGTTGAATGTAATAATTGCGAATCGGTATACATATATAAGATATATTATTGAAAAAAGAATGAACCAACATTTTAAAGATTCAAAAAATACTAAATTAGACAATAAAATAGCCCACCATAGTATTCTAAATAGACATACATTCAATTTAACACAACATCAAATATTACACAAAGAATCAAACAGTACACACAGAAAAATAATAGAATTCATATTCATCAGAAAACATATTAATAAAGCAATAAATTATAAAACAGATGCAGCTAAAATATGGAGCCATTACGCTTACATAATTAACAAATTAAATAAATAAAACTTCTTGGAATTTGACCCTTGGTGCATAGGCTGGTTTAGTGTCTGACTAGGCTCTCCCAAGAGGAGTCCACAATATAACGAAGATAAATAAATTCATTACAGAATGTATGCTACTTACATACAAATAACAATATAACATATTGTATATAACAGATAATAATATAACAAATAATAAAAAAAAATTGCATTTTTAGGGATAATTTAAAAAATAAAAATTATGACAAGTCTTTTTTAAAAAATTAGATGATAGAAAGATGAGAGATGGGTAAGATTGGTAATCTGTTATTTATATTGTGTTATAAACATATATGCATGGAAATATATAAATACAAATAACAAAAATGTTTCTTGTTTCTAGTCTGAAGATGGGATAATAAAGTGATCCCAAAATATCATAAAAATGTTTTTGGGAGAATAAACTGTTACTTAACTTTATTCATATACCTTATACAAATAATTACTTTTTTTTTAATGTGTCCCAACAATAAAACCTATGTTTTAGGCCCTTATCAAGACTAAGTAAAATCAAGATAACATCCCGTAAGATACAAGTTACGTAAAACAGTAAAACTATAAAATAGCAAACAGTATGAAAATGTAATGATATTATGATAGACTAAACCTTTTATATAAATTATGAAAAATTAAATAATGACAAGTAAATGAATGATTACGTTAAGTAAGATTTATTATGAAACGTATGTTTATAATCATTGTACTTAAAGAGGATAAGGAGAGTGATCACCCCCTCAATAAAAAAAGAAAGGAAGTGAGAATATCGTTCCCCATCCAATAATTTTATGTTCAATTATCAAAATAGAAATCAATAAAAAATAATCTAAGGACCCCAGAAGTTTTTAATTATTTTATCACATCCTAAAAGTTCCTATTATTTAAAATTTTATTTAGATCCAAAGATAATAATATATAATAAAATTGTAAATAATCAAAACTTCATTGTATATAAGAGATTTTAAAAGTTTATTTTTCATATATTTATTCCTCAACTTATTCTGTGTTTATTGTGATTTAATTTAATTATAATATTTATTGACTTTTTTATTATTATAAAAATAAACAACTTTATACTTACACCTTAGGTAATGATACATTACCAAGCAAAAATGTTTAAACTTCCTCTTAAACGTGCATTATTCAATGAAAAAATATTTTAAATTACAAATTGTTTTTAATGATATTG